CGTACTCCGCACATACACGCGCACGCATAATGGCATCTGATTGTATCCATCTCATACTACAAGGGCCTGACGCGACGACGAGCTCATCCCGCGACGACGCATCCGTCAACGTTTCACACTGCGCACGCACGTACGCATAATCGCATCTGCTTGTATCCATCCATCTACGTCTGAGCTCCTGGCGTGACGATGCGGCGCTACGACGTGGCATCAACGATGGCTGGTGAGCGCGTCAATGATGACTCGTTAACGACCATATTCAACGACAACGTGATCCGCTCCGCCCGTTACCTCCCTCGGGCACCCTATCCTCTTCGACGACAACCATCGCCAATCCGGGCGCCAGCACAGGATGGCGCTCCCAATATTCTTGCCCGCGCCGAGTATTTTCGTATCACTACACGCGCCGAGTGTTTTCGCATCGCTGCATGTGCTGAGTATCCTCGTATCGCCGCACGCGCCGAGTGTTTCCATCTTTACCGTGCACTTCTGCTCGATCGATGCACTCCGTATTTGTGTCGCTGCCATGTCCGTCCGCCCCCGAAATACTCCCCCGCCTCGGGCACTCAACGGCTGATGACAAAAAAGAAATCGGATCGAAGTTGATTAAGCGGACACCGGGAGTCGAACCCGTGTGATGGATATCAGGTGTACCATTATTACTTCGGCCTCTATTATTTAATTCAAGTCTCCATATATTTACTTCGCATTTGCTTGGCACTTGCCGGCCATTCCGCGTATCGAATATTAATAGTTTATTGATCTTCTCACGGGCTATGAACATAGCAATGTTTAGTCAGAGTGAGTCAGATACCTCTGACTCACATATGACTCACATCTATAGTATATAAGGGAGGCCTTTCCCTCTGTAAAGGCCATCTTACATCCTTGCCAATACAACCTAGTAGTGAACCTACATCTTGCCTGATTTCAAGTGACGCCGCTAGTGCTCACTTATTGAATTACTTTTACTGTCTACTATTGTTGTAACGCTTCGCGCTTGCAGCATTATTAGATTAGGTGTCCTAAGAGTTTGACGATATTCTCAAGTTCACGTCAGACGACGATATATTCTCGTTTGAAGGCTTCTTTTGGTGAAAGTCCCTCGTGTTGACTGATTATATAAGGGTTTGCTAGAACCTAAGTATTCTCATTTCGCTGCTATTTTGTGTTGCATTTGTGCAACACCAACATAATCTACTCTAACGTGTGCTACGACTGCGCACGCTCACACATCCGTATCCCACGTGATACCGGTTTCGCTTACAACCCGGACCTGCGGCTGCAATGGGGACACCTTTCGCTCATATTTGAGGCCGCGGTGCGCCGTGCACTATATCCACTCTTTCTCAACGAAACGAACTCGGCTTTGAGTTATTATTTTAGGAGAGGGAAACAAAAATGTGGTGGATAATCAATCTAATGCGGACACTGGGAGTCGAACCCGGGCTTGCAGCCTACCAGATGGATAAGAGGCTGTTCAAAGCCGTAGTGCGCCGTGCACTATGTCCGGTATTTTCAATGAAACGAACTGGGGTTTGCAACGTAGTTTCCGAACAGGACTGTGATTGATGCTCAAAGTCTTAGACTAAAGGCAGCGCACTCAACCTGTACACGCTGGTTACGAACGGTGAAGGAAGTGTGTTGGGATTATTAATAGTGCAGCTCGGCCATCGGGCAATTGATTGATAAGATTAGAAATATGGACAGTTCAAGTAGATACACGTAGAATATTCTAGATACATTTTTGTAGTATATAAGCTCACTGTACAATCCTGCTAGAGCATCAGTTTGCTCTAAAGCAGCCTTCTAACCAACAGTGCTATTGCAAACCTATTCTACCTCCACTGCTAATTTCGTCCTCCCCACTTTTACATCAACAAAGTGAAAGTGGTTTTGTCCACAGGAGCAGGGTCCCAGCTATTCTCTGTACTGACGTTGTGTGATTCAAGAACGGGGTATATCCAGGCGAAACGGGAATCTGAAGGCGTGAGGCCCAAATAAATACGTCATGTATTCAAAGGCGGACACGAGTGCTAGTTCTATCCTGCGCCGCAGTACGCCGTGCACCATATCCGCTTTTTCTATAAGCATTGAAGGGAGAGTTGAGATCGATGAATTGAAGTTAGGTTTGAGGTGGGATACTATATATAGCGCGGTTCCAAAAAGAAGGAAGTTGCGGGTCCCTTAGTGCGGACACCGGGAGTCGAACCCGGGCTTGAGGCCTAACTATGCGATGCAATTAGCCGGGGCCGCGGTGCGCCGTACACCATATCCGCTTATCTCTGGAAGAAGCCAATTTACACTTCATAGGTGGTCAGGAACAGGGAAGCGTATGCTCATAGCAGCATCACCAACATCATAGACACGGTACAAGATTCAACCCCATCCTCCTTCTGTGCACAAGGCAGAGGGTGATGTTTTCTTGTGCAAAATCAAGCACTGATGCCGAGGTACGGATGTCAAAAACTCCGCGTCTGAGCAAAAAATCAAGCACCCTGATCGCAGTGCGGACACCGGGAGTTGAACCCGGACCTGCGGCCTGGTCATGTGGATGAGCAAGTAATTAGCCGGGGCCGCGGTGCGCCGTACACCATATCCACATATCTCTACCTGAATTGAACCTAGGTTCGAGAGACAATTTTTTGAAGGGGATTAAAGGACCTGGACTAAAGATGGTGACCGAATTCCTGCATGTGAGACGGTTCACCGGCGAATTCAAGACCTCAAGAAGTTGGTAAATTGAGTCGGACCGGGACCTGCGCCTGCCAAGCGACGTAAATGTGGCCGCGGTATGCCATACACCATGTCCACTTATTTCTCGGTGAAGTGAACGTGGATGTGAAGGTGAGTGTGGCAATTCAAAAATCGAGGTCATCATGGGATAATCGGCGAAACGCAGCCCATCTCCCGTCTTGGGCGGAGATGATTTCATCGAGGCATTAAGAGGCAAATTTACAGACAGTCAAAGCTCGCCGGCGTGGGTCAACGTGCAATGCAACGACCAAAGAAGGGGGAGAAAAAATCTTTTGTGTGCGAATGCGGACAGCGGGAGTCGAACCCGGAACTGTGGCTGTCAAGTCCATAGTGAAGAATTATTGGGGGCCGCAGTGCGCCGCACACCATCCCCGCTCATGTCTGGATGAATTAAACTTGGGTTTGGGAGGCAATTTTGGGAAGGCAAGGCGGCTCGTAAGCACACATCTGAATTTCTGGTGAACTTGGGGATGATTCATCTGACACATTGTCAGAATCATATAAAACATTCACCCGGAGGTGGGTGCATTTCCAATCGAAGCGAAATAATGCCACTCCTTTACATACGGTTAGATTCGAGAGGGCATTTTGAACGAAAAACTGGGGATCGAGTTCTGCGTGAAGTGAACTTGAGTTTGAGAGGCGATTTGGGAGGGCAGGCAACTCCATAATATCAAAGCATCGGGAACAAGATTGTGTTGTACTTGTACCTGCCAAAATCTAGTTCCTTGACATGTAGGAGACTAGGAGATGGGTGGTGTAAACAGGAACTCCAATCAAAGATGGAACGTCTGAGCGAAAAGAAAAAGAAAACGAAAATCCGTTTTATCCCAAGTGCGGACACTGGGAGTCGAACCCAGACCTGCGGCCTACTCCATGATCTGTGCCACATGTGGTGCCGCGCACCATACGCCCTATCCATTTATTTCTAGATGAAGGGAGGTTGGGTTTGATATGCTTTTGGCGAAGGGTATGCATACACGGCATCGAAACTTCTGCCTAACTTGTTGGGGATTCATGCAAGACATCCATCCCGGACGTGATTGTAGGAAGCATGATTAAGGAGTGCACTAGATAGATATGTACACACCACCGCTAAATTGTGAATATAGAGCAGGTTGGCCGAATACGAACGAGGTATGTTAATTTCACTAATAGGGTGGGTGTCGATTTCGAACCAGACAACAGAGGAAACGGTAAGGTGACGAGGTAGAAATCTTCCAACGACAAATTAGACAGTAGAGAAAAAAAACAGCGATTCAAAATCGACATGCGGACACCGGGAGTCGAACCCGGGCCTGCGGTGCTCACGGACAGCGGCATCATCACAACTGGGACCGCGGTGCGCCGCACACCATGTCCGCTTATTTTTCTGAATGAGCGAGCTTGGGTTTGACGGGATCGAGTCGGGTGAGCCTTGAAGCTTGGATACTCACGACTCGACTCAACATTCCGAATTTATTGGGCAATTCGGGAGTGTGGAGAGAAGTAGGAGGAATGGAAAAATGATTACATGTAAAAAGATAATCTCCTCAAGGGCTATGCGGAGACCGGGAGTTGAACCCGGACTTGGGGTTAGCACTCCACAGTTCAATCAGTAATGTGAGGCCGCGATGCACCGCGAACCATGTCCGCTCTTCTCTCAGTAAATAAACTTACGATTGAGCGGCTATTTTGGAAGGAGATTGAGTAGAACTCAAGATTCCGCATCAAGAAAAGGGAAGAGGGATTGTATGCACACACGTCATCTAAAGTCCTGGCTAACTCTGTGAGGATCCATGTAAGATCTCAAATAAGACATCCCAGAGCTAGGTGCATTTCCAACCAAAAAAACATTGGAAGGGGAAAATTCCTGGGCTGCGCCATGCGGACACCGGGAATCGAACCGGGAAATGAGGCCTGACAAGGCCTTTGACTATGTAGGACTGCGGTGCGCCGTGCACCATGTCCGCTTCTTCCTCGAACAAGCAAAGTTGGTTTTGATAGCTGATTTTGGACGGGGTATGCACACACATCTAAATTTTTGGTAAACTTGGCGAGGCATTTACATAAGAAATCCGTCCAGGACGTGAGAAGCATGATTAAGGGTTGCGATAGCTAGAAAAATAAATTGTGAGTTACAAGCAGGTTCTTCGAATACCAACGAGGTAGGTCAACCAGGAAATGTTAACGTAACGAGGTAGAACTCTTCTAAGCAAAACAATGACCACCGAGCAAAACATCTCTCCTTTTTGAAATGCGCATGCGGACTCCGGGAGTCGAACCCGGACCTGCGGCTGAAGCTGATAAGTCCAAAATATATGTAGAGCCGCGGTGCACCACCATACACCATGTCCGCTTCACTTTTATTGAAAATACCTACCAACAACAACAACAACAAGACGGTCACTGGTGGACTAATTTTGACTGCGGTACACCGTACACCATGTCCGTTGTATTTTCAATGAACTGAGCTTGGGTTCAAGAGCCTGTCGTTTTTGAGGGAATCGAGAGCGGCAGACGAGGTTCAGAGATACAAAGACTCTGCTGCACTCAATTGTGTAATGACATGGGAGGAAAAATAATTTCTTTGACCTAACTCTAGGCGGACACGGGAGTCGAACCTTGAACTGAAGGGCCAAATTACTGTGCACCATGTCCGCGTTGTTTCCTAAAAACTGAACGTGGGATTTACAGCTATCACTTAGCAATTTTTTGCAAACAAGACCAATTTTGATCACACACTTTGCCAGCGACGTCACTTCAGGCCACCTATATTGATGACCCATAGGGGTTAATTTTTCATGATGAAGAAATACCCCAAAGGGGGTCTGCATAGGTGGTTGATACCATTTGTATGGGACATCCCTCCAATTACATCAATCACTGTCAGGACCTTCCACAGGGCAGTACTTTTGACCTCCCACCTGCCGCAGGCAGGCCAATTCTTTCCCTCTAACCCTAGCATGGGACCTCCAATCGGGGGTGTCTGGGGTCCTACCTGGGGGCCAAATCAATGTGACGTCCGGGACGCATTTCTGAACAGATCTGCTTCATTTATAATGAATTAGAGAGGAATTCGACGGCATTTTCCAATCATACCCTACCCAACTTGGAATAGCAAATATTTGTGTTTGCCAAAATCCGCCTTCTGTGGTTTCAACCACACGTTGTAACAGTGATTTCTTGGCCATTTGCTCACCAATCCATCTGATTCAAGATGTGTTCCAAGGCTGTGAGGGAGGCATCCACTCCCATAATAACAGATGTTGCCACATATACATTGACTGTCTGAAAAAAAGCAGTTGTTTCGCGTATTTGAATAATGAGTCGTGACGCCCCCATTTCAGGTTGGAACCAAATCCTGTTCACAAGTAGGTGATGCCAGAGGGTTTCCTCTGAATTACACCAGGGGCAAGAAGCCATGCATGTGGCACCCACATGCGTGTTAAGCATGTGGGTGCCACATGCGTGGCTTTTTGCCCCTGGTATTACATCCACAATCATCCAATTTGATGTAGATTTAGATGAGAAATCGTTGTTGCAAGATGGGGGTGTAAAGACCCACATCAAATTTTGACAAACCCATATATTCCATATGACACTTCGGGTAGGGTATGGTTAGGAAGCGCCGTTGAAGCCGTCTCGAACGCACTAGGAATCAAGCAAATCCGTTCAGAAATGCACCCCAGATGTCGCTGGCAGAGTGCGCGATCAAAATTGGTCTTATTTACAGAAAAATGCTAAGTGTCATGCTCATTGCAAACAGCTGTAAGCCGCAAGCGATGATTTTGGAAGAAAATTGACTCGATTTAACCATTCACATGCAGCCGCAGTGCGCCGTACACCCTATCCACTCTTATCTACAGTAAATGAACTTGGGTTTGAGTGGTCATTTTGGAGTGGTAGTAGTGGTGGGCAAGTTCAGTTCGACCTGAACTGAACACCAGGTTCAGGTTCGGGGTTCAGGGAAATCCCAGAAATCTCCGAACCTGAACCGAAGTTCAAGTTCAGGGTTCGGCACAGGCCAAATTTTGCTGAACCTGTTCGAACACGTTCGAACTCCGAACCTGTCCCCCGTCTGGGCGGTGATCCCAGCCCTTCTTTTGTATGGTCTGCGGGGAAGTGGCTTCGTATCAAACTGTCTCGTTTCTTTGCGTCTGTCATGGATACTTTGGGTAATCTTGAGGTCCGCAAGGCGATAAATAATAAGGGTTCTCTCGCTTGGATTTCTCCGAAGGGCACTATCTCTTGCGGGCGCTGCATGAATATTGTGACTTAAGAAGCAGCAATTCAATCAATTTCCTTCATCGCCTTCAGCTGCTTCATTATGGCGGATCCCTCTCTTGGATGTGCTCAGAACTCTGATGGATCCCTTCGCCCAGCCAGCGAGATCGTCTTCTACAACAACATCGACGATGACCACCCGATTTCGGGCCCCCGCTCTGATCTGGCAGACCCTTCGACTCTCCATCCTTTTTTCACAAATGCGACAAAGCCTGTTGGCAAGGTCGCGGGCAGCCATCGCTCTGGTCACCGCCCCCACCCCTCCACTTGTCTCGCTGAAACGCTGACTATAATCCCGCAGGTGAAAGATATATCACAAATACTCAAAATGAGTATCAGAAATACACCAAATCAACACTACAACACCACTTTCAAACGTGCGAGGTTCGGGGTTCCAGTCAAGTATTAGACTGTTGCAATTTGAGGTTTTACTATCTATGTAGCTTCTTTAGTTAATGACACAATTTGACAATCTAAGTCCGTCTTAGGCACTTTACGCGATCTATCGACCTTAGGAAAGTGTGTTTATGCAATGTAATGGAATGTAATTCGATTGGGACGGTCAGAGGACCTTGGAGACCTGGTGGACTTGCATCTGCCTTGTTCAATGATTCTTTAGCTAATGCTGACTGGACGTCGTTGCAATGAACTAATGTGCCTTATATTCTATTCTCACTTGTTCCACATGTAAATCAGGCCTTATAGACCTTAGTAACACACGTCACTCGCAATAATATCCAACAAAACATATATTTGCACAATAACACACAAAAGAAACATTATAGGCTTCCCAATAGTATTCCGAATAGATGCAACACTTCCAAGACGGTACACTGGTTCAGCGTGAGCACAGCAGGAAAGGGGAGAGAGAATCCACTGGTCCTACTGAAATCCTACGGGTATTTATACTATGCAGGAACCCATATATGGAAATAATGTTACAAACGAAATAAAACTCTATCTGGTATGGTTATGGGCTAGATATATTGCCCATGGCTAAATGGAACTGATTCTTGGTACATTGTGCGATAAATACGGAAGAGATTTAATAAATAGGTCTGAGAAATATAAGAATTGGTATATTTGGGACAGAAGCCATGTGGTCTCGACCTGGTTTATCATCCTATCATCGCCAAGACATGTGATCTTTATCGCAACACCTTGTTTCCACAGTCAAGGCCATGCAACAATCTAATATTAGCATGCCTATCCGACTTTATCTGAAACATGGGTCAAGGCGAGCCTTTGCCAGGCTTTGGCAAGGACCCAGACCTCTGGTCCATCATGTGTGGCCTCGAGATACTATCGATGCCAAGTGTAACACACATGGTTCATTCTCAGATGCCTAATCGGGTTTCCTTCTAGAACCATGTAGTTGTAGGACTGCCCGTACTGATTCCTCTTGGTCCTTCGTGCCCTTGGACCCTCCCTGGTACTTGTTGTAGTTCATAGACGGATGATAAAAGACCATATCCTTGATAGGAATGTGCGGAGAAACCCCAATTCAGTTATAGAATGGTTAGGAACTCTTTAGCTAAAGAACGGTATCTTCCATAAATTCCGACCAACTTGGCGGCCGCCCTCTATATGAAGCTCCAGACTTCTGCACACGTGTAATTCCTCAGCTACATGCTCGGATCTCACACTAGCTTGCGTTTGGTAATGATATGTATATAGCAGTTTCTTTAGCTAATAGGTATACAGCACTTGTAAAATTGAAGAATTTCACAGCTGGCCATTTAGCCTGCTTATCATTGCAGACCCCAATAATGCAGAATCTTCTGTTCGGTCTGGCAAGTGCAAGGCTATCAACACTGACTCTCGCTCTCATAAGCTGCCCTGTGTTTCCACCAACTCTGCCTCAGAGCTCAAGGAGTCCAAAGAATCAGGGGCCGATTCTGGTGCCGAATCTGATGAGCCTGGGACCGATGCTCGGGTGATGATACTGAGGGAGAGGATGAGCTTGGGCAGGAGAAAATGGATGTCGATGGGTACCAGGCATTGAGAGAGATGGGAGATGCGGATCATGCTCAGGTGAGTCTCCAGCTAATTTTATATTCGCACTTTTCTGACTAGTACTAGGAAAACCACCAAGCCCTCCCGCACCGACAAATCGAACAAAATACGAACCGTATTCACGCGCGTCAACGGACATCTGAACCCCAAGACGCAGAAGCATCAGGGCGGCCAGATTTGTGTGTACATTTCTCGATTTTTCTGCCTTTGTCTGAAGTATCTCATGGTCGACAGTGCCTACGGTGAAGAAGCGACGTTCCTGACGGGTATGTGACCACCCTCCGGGTTCACATTGCTCGGTACGTGCTTTAATCATGTCTTACTTATACATTTATTGACCGAGGTAAAAAGTTCCAAGGGACATTTCGAAATCTACAAGGCTCGTTGTGATGCTCTTGGGATCGAGCCGAATGAAAGGGCAACCCCAAAGGTTCTCTCTTCCCAGGGGTCTGTCCTTTTCAACTTCTCCGTTTCTCAATGTGACTGAGTTCTGCATTTAGTACCCAGGGTAGTTTGTATGATGTGGTTGTATCTACGGCGGCCGCCTGCCTTCACAAATGAAGGCCTCCTCAAATTCATTATGTATTTCATCGTGACAAATGACCTGGTATTTGTTAGAATTTATCTTCTCTTTCAGTTTTCACCTGCTTTGAAGGCGTTGATGCTCATCGACAATCCGATGTTCAGGCAGCTTCTCCAGTACTGTCGCCCCAGCATCAAAGACAGCGATATTCCCAGCCGCAAGAAACTCAGTGCTTACATTCTTAAGCGTGCCAAGGAAGTTGAGATCAAGCTGAAGGAGCATTACAAAGGAAGGCTTTCGCCGCAATTATTATTGATGATGAACGAGTATATTCAGGGAATCCCTGGTCTTATCCACCTGACACATGATGAGTGGACTTTGGACTCCGGTATTCCCTTCACGAACGCCAATGGTCATTATATCGACGCTCCCATTGATCGTCCGAACGACTGGGAAATGAGGTGCGATAAATTGGCCTTCAAGAAAATTAAAGGACGTCACACCGGTGAAACTCTTGCTGCCGCTCTTTTCAC